TCCCATCGTGGCAATTGCGTTAACTGAAAACCCAAGTTCGAAGTGTGTGCCCCTTGTAGTCACAGGGATTCTTTTGAATTGTTTTCTTTTACCGTGAGCAGGCGGGCACAGGAGGCCCATAGAGCTGTGCCGAACGAAGCTCTCTATGGTGACCTCAACTGATCAGCTGCACGTACCTGCTGTTTTGAACTTTTGAACAAGCTTTGACTCCAATTTCCAGTAAAGTGCTAATGAGCTTGGCAGACATGAGCCCTTTCTCCTTTTGAAGACCTCCAGGCTCCATAGGGTTCTCCTGGACTTTTCAGGATTTGGTTTCTTAGGCTGGCGTGTGGCATGTGGCATTCAGTTCCGTACACCCAATCATAAGTGTGTGTGTGGCGAGTAAGCGCAGCCAAGAAACATATGAAGTTTGGGTGACAAGCTTTGAAGTTAGCATTCAAACTCGCAGGTTGTGCGAAGAGCCGCATGTTGAGCACTTCAGGTCTGGACAGCAGTGAGGCAGTGTCAAGTCGGCGGTGTGCTCTCAGTTTGCGCTACTACCCGACCGGATTTGAAAGCAACTTGGCCGCGGATTTGCTCTCTTGCAGACACATATAATATATAGAAGAACCCGGTAAGGACACAGGAGTTAGCAGAAGGACCTTCAAACCTGAAGTCCCAAGTCACAATGCAAAAAACTGAAGAGGCAGATAATCCACAAAACCTAGGTCAGTCATAAGCCTTCGGATAAAAAATCACAGTATACAATAGAGCCTAGCCCTTCCACAAGTCCTATCTCATGAGACCAGTTGGCGCGTGTTTGAAGCACACAGGACACCACGACATAGGTTTTCCAAAACCAATGCATGCCACAAGTCCTATGTGACTTCAGGGCCTAAAGCCTAAGTCATCCGTGTCTCGTCCTGTGTCGTCCCGTCCCTGCTAAGTTATCCAGACATGCGCGGGCCATTGAAACAAGATAAACAAAAACCGAACATCCATCCGGGTTTGAAAGATAGGGTTTGATATTGCCGAAATTTGTCGACAAACTCACCAGGTAAGATGCTAAAAGATGGCAACTTCAGCATCATGGTGCAGAGGTGGGAGAGAAGGGGGAAGGGGTGACGGCCGCACAACATCGCAACAACTGAAGTGGTCGTGTTTCTTGTTTTCAGTGTATGCCAGTGTAGAGGCCATGCAGCTGTTTCTTCCCTGCTGAGGCCTAAGAGCAGCATCTTGCACGCCCGCGTTCACATTGCTGGTGTCATGCGAGAGCGGCTCTTCACCAGTGCGCATGGCACGCTCGAGGGTCACTGGCCATTGATCCACATATTCCCATATGTTTCCATATGTTACCCACAGTCTGATTCACAAACATGGAAGTGGACAATTCCCTTTCCGCAGGAAGAGAGAGAGAGAGAGAGATGTTAGTGAGTCGGAGGTACACTTTGTTCTGAAGCTGGCAGCTCCATTTTTGTTTTGTAAACTTTGGATGTGGGGTCGCATTGAACTTGAGAACTGAGGCTGGATAAACTTTGCATCGCAAGAAGTCTTGCCGACTCTATGCTGCACACTTGAGCCGGATTTCATTTTGTGGTGCCATTGTCCCTTTAAGAAGCACCTGGTACCATTTGGTACCATTGATCTTGCTGTGAGCTGCAGCTTCACATGCATTCTGTAGGGGTCAACGCTGTGTCGACACCTTGGCCCCTGAGACTGATTCTGTAAGGAGCTGTGAAACCCAGCAGATTGGCTTGGAGGCAGGCTTGCGAACCGCACCAATTGACACTTGCTGACATTGTATTCAGAGAAGAATGCAAAATGTAAACGTATTTAGATGTATTTAGAATAGAATGCAACTGATGCGCTTTCGTTGTGAACATTTGTTTCATCATGAGTCGTGTATACGGTATAATTAGAAGAACACAGTATTTTTTTTTTCAATTGATTCTTCAGGGTTTAAGCCGGCCACATTTTGACGTTTTGGATGCTGGATTCTTGTTGGCGCTTGGGCTCAAAGGGCAGAGATGGGTAGTTCACATGGAAGCTATGAGCCGGACGTCCCGGAGGAGATCGATCGAAAGGCGCTGGATGGAGATCGCTGGAGTCGCCGGCGCCTAGAAGTGCAATGCTTCGGTGTGGTGCGGCATGCCAGTAGGGCAGATGTCATCGGTGCCACATGGAAAGGGACCCTTGGCTTGGCTTGAGGGTTTGCTGTTTGAGTATGCGAACGAGTCACGCACCAAAAAGCGAGTCAACTCTATACTAGAAAGATCTAGAATCTAGAAAGGGACACATTCTTCCTAGACATCGTGCAAATCTCACATCCTCCGATCCTTCCGATCCTTGCGCCAGCATCGCCTTCGACAGCCAGGCTGCCTTGGGTCCAGAGCAGCGACTTCGAAGCCCATCCTCTGGACCCTCCGCTGTCGGATGCAGGGCGAGCCGAAGCCAAGGAGGTCGGGAAACGCATTGCTCAATTCATCGAAGCCAAGCCAGGCAGTGATATCCAGGCGGCCGTGGAGCGCATGGCTGGGGGGTGAAGACTGAGAAGTTTGGGTTCGACTGACGGGTGAATTTCTTGGATCTAGTGGAGATCCCACAAGAATCACCAGTTTGAATCGTTGATGTCGAGACCACCTGATTATTACTTTTTCCCGGCCCTGCTGGCACTTGCGCCCACTTGGACTTGCTTGCGCTCACTTGCCCAGGTGGTGGTCACCTCTCCCTACTTGCGCTGCATCGAGACCGCTGCAGCCATTTGCCTGCGCTTGGGCAGCCAGACTCGGCTCATGGTGGACCTAGGCCTCGGCGAGGTCTATGGCCCAGAGATCTTTGGAGAAGAACCGCAGCGAACCATCCGAAGTTCCCAGGAGGTCGAGGAGCCTTGACGGCATGTTGGGATGTTTCTGCACCTGAATATGCAGGGTGGACCTATATCCTAGATGTTTCTAGATTTGTTTTGAAATGCTTCAAGAGAAAGAGAAACCATTCTCGTCTCTCTCACCAGGAGCACCTGAAGTCCTTCGCCGACTCGCCCGACCCGACGGCGCCACTCCGGGCATCGCCCTCGGGCGTCACCTTTCGGCCACCGATCTCCACCGTGGGCGTGTGGCCGACGTGGCCGGAGACCCTGGCAATGGGCCGGCGGCGCTTTGCGGAACGACTGCTGGTCTACATCAGTCGCGGGGCCAAGGCGAGGCTTTGGTCTTTCGAGCCAAGAAGTGACAGAGTGGGGTTCCCAATTGACTGAGCTTTCACAAAATCCCAGGCCCGGCGGAACTTTTTGTTGGTCTCCCATGCGGACTGTGTCGCCTCCTGCCTTGCTTTGATGCCACATGGCCGGGTCGTCGAAGCGGTTGACTATGGAGCGACCATGATGGCCTGGCGAACTCCACTGCCCGCCTTGCTCACGTCTCCCAGGATGAGAGAGTGGATGATGAGGTTGCTACTAGTAGCGATCTTGCTACCAGTAGCCATGCCCTTTGTTACATTTGGTTACTACTGTAGGTTTTTTTGTTGTCAATGTAGCCCAATTATATATTTATGAGGTTTGACCTGATCAGTCTTATCACAAACTATCACATGCCACCTTGGGTGAAATCTTGTGTCGATAATTCCTATTGTTAGTACTGTTAAATTAGAATCTTATTCTTTACTATTACTTTCAAATCATGGCTGTTATTGTGAGTGCTTTAGCAATCGTTTTTGTTATAATATGTAATTACTTATATATACATACAAAACATATATATATATATACACACTGTATATACGAAGGTATAACTCCCAGGCGTTTTTGGCACATTCACTATGATTCATCTCAAGGAGTTCTCCATTTCATCAGGAACCGAATGAGAACCCACTTTCCGTTCGTTTCAGGACGGCCAAGCGGATCCCCGAGCCGAGCTGCTTGCGCCGCTCTCCTTCGGGGCAACGGGCTTGGTGGGGTGAGGAAAGCTGTGAGGCCTCAACCTGGGAGAAGTCCCCAGAGGAGAACAACCTCGTTGCCCAGCTCGGTGTTGGACCACCAAGCTTGGCCGGGCAGGTTTCAAGTACTGCATCCAGAATCGTCACGAACCTGAGGTTCTTTGCACAACAGTCTCAATCCTCATTTGTTCCTGGTTATCCTCCCCCAAACTAAAAATAGTCTCTGTTAGGAGGGTTTGGAAGAGATTGAGATGTATTGCCAAATTTGCAGGAGCTTCTGTCGCTGTGCCGTACAGCATGGCAGATTGAGACCTCCAATGTGACGCTTGGGCCACTTGTCACGGACTTTCTGGGATTGTTGTGTGATATAGGGAGTGTAGCCATAGCATGCCATAGCTCTTGCGGCAGAAATGTGACGGAAAGAAAACCGCTGAGGCACCAGTGGTGTGGCCAAGAGCATGCCATCAGTTGTGCCAGAGCCGCCTTGAGAAACAGCGAGGCTTCAATCCAAGAGGTGGATAGACTCTTGGGGCTTTTGTCCTCGGATTTGTCGACCCGTGGCCGCAGCGGGCGCGCGAGTGGGGGGGGAGACCCAAAGGGAGGAACGGCTAGTGCATCAAGCAGATTGCTTGTAGGATCATGAATTGACACCTACTTTGGAGCTGCTAAACACCAAACAGAGAAGAATTGTTTGCCAGAGTCTCTTGGATATTGGGTTTCTACCCACGACCCATTCCTGACCCAGACACCAGACCACTGCGTGTCCGACCAAGGAGGCAGTGTCCTGAGCCGAAGCTGCCACTGAACTACACCAGTTCTGAAGTTTGCATGTGTGTAGTGCACCCACACGAAGCAAGAAAGACGAGTCAACATTTGATGTGCACCAGCAGAAACACCCAAAGGAGCAACAGTAGCTGTCATGAGTTCAACAGCTTAGTGTGGTTGAGTTGTTTCTGGCCCCTTTCCTGCTCGGCAAGGTCTTGGTCTGCTTGACCCTTCAAAGAAGTGTCTTTTTGAGCAATGTTTTTACAGTGAAAGGTATGAAAAGGTCACGCGGCCTCAAATGTTCTTGAGCCCCAGTTGACAAAATCTGCACTGCTCAAACACACACACACACATATATATATATATATATTTATACTGTATGCAATTATATATATATATGATGTGCGTATATAGGCATATAATATATATATATATACACTATCATTTACTGTATGTACTTGTTTACAATAAACATACACATTAAACATGGGAAATCCATTGAGCCGGTGGTGATATGCAGCACAAGTAAATTTTGCCCCTTGGACCTGCAAAGACTTGGGTGCATGACGACACCCGCATAAGCCTAAACACCTAAAAACAATACAATTGATACCCCATTTAGAACGCATTGCTAGCCACTGAGGCGAAGAAAAGAAAGCAAACTGAGCTGCCTATCCTATGAGACATACTTGTTTGGATGCAGTGAGAAGAGCCTAGGATCGCTCGATAAGTACGAACACCCAGTTCTGGCGCCTCTCGAAGAGAGGGACAGCCAAAGCCCGAAAGGAAGTCCGAAAGCCCTCGATGGAATGCTAAAGCCCATTCAGTCACGTATTTTGCAAAGGCGCCGTGGCACAGGTTGAGGCGGCGAGCCGAGCCTGAAGACATGGGGCTTCTTGCAAAAAAGATCGGAACATGTCAGTGGCACTCCGTATGACAAAGTGAATCGCGCTCCTATCAACATAACGATCCTACTATATCCCGGAGCAGTTCAGTCGCTTGATTCAAGCTCCATTTTTCCTGTATCAATTTTTATGGGTTTCCAATGCGTTTTTGATTCGAATGGGCAAGCACCATCTCCAATTCTGTGGCCATGGTGTTGCAAGACTGCAATAGCCATGTCTGCAGTGGCCAGCAGCACCTGTCTGTGTGGGGCGGCCAGCATTTGGAACTGTTTGCCTGGATGAAACATCCAACGGGCATGTTGGGCCGGGGGTTTCAACTCTTCACCAAGGTCTTGCAGAAAAGTCAATTTTGTCGCTCATTTTTGCAACTGCTTTCCAGATGTGGGATGGTCAACATGAGTGTAGTCGACGATCATTTGACCATGGGGAACTCATAATTGCGATGGCCTCCGACCTAATAGCGATGGCCTCCACTCTAAAACCGAAAATCTCAGGATTGGCAGCCCGGCAGCGAAACACGTTTCGTTCAGGTGCTCCATTGCAGCATGATTCCTCCACCGGCGTGTTCTGGAAGCCAAGCCAGCTGGGATCTCCGCGATGCCCTAGGTGTCTTGGCCGTGTTGTGTCAAGTGTATTGGTATGAAACCAGGATGACCAGGTGAGGCATGGACCATCTCTTGTGGATAATTTCCTAGGACATCGAGGAGTCCCTGCTTCAAAATCATGATTTTGACATTGAAAGAACCGATCCTTTGCCAGGCCGAATGCCCTACGCCATTGGGGTCCCTTTTGTAGAGGAAGCCAGGACATTTGATGTCGAACATCCGTGTCAGTCAGGGTGTTCGGTCGACGATGGCCTCCTTTTGTCGAGGATTCAGTCCCACGAGTTGACGCCGATCCACTTACGATTGGCCTTCTTCCCGGGTGGCCACACCGCCGCCCCGAAGAACCATGCCACTTGGGCCAAAAACGACGCTTCGTTTTCTGTTTTTGGTCCACATCGGCAGGGTGGGAGGAGTTCCACGCGACGCGAACGAAGCGGGTGGACAGCTGAGGTGTCCGTGTGGGTCTCCCCGCTCCAAGGCTTAGAGGCCGAAGCGTGTTTTTTCACGGACTGGCCGTTGGTGACGTGCCCCGAACGAAGCTCAGAAAGCCAGACTGGGCAACAGATGTTGGAGCTAGTGACTTAGTGGAATGTTCTGGGATGTTCTGGGCTTCGCATAGAGTGACAATGTGATTGAGCACCCTCTTTACACTTCAAGTCCATCAAGCTTTCTCACCGTCTGTGGCGCCAGGACCGGAGCTGCGACCTCAGGGCTTTCGCTGAATGCCATGCTGGCCGTGACATTCTGTGGTATCTTATGTAAGTTTTTGCGCAGATGGTTCATGTTCCGGGGTGGGAATGGCTAGGAGGGCTGCTATGACACTGATGTTTCCGGATGTTTTCTGCCCTCTTCCATCTCTGTGTGCACTTGACCTTGCCTCAAGGCTATGTCTGCAGCGTGGACGGGAGCTCACCCCAACGGGCCTCTGGAGAGACGGTGCTGCACTTTCCAAGGCTTGAGGTCTTTGGAGCCTCGGGAAGCGGGTTGGATCGACCAAGACATGATGCATATGATGTGGGACGGGGAGGTCATGCAAATTATGATAAAGATGGACGATGACGATCACGATGACGAATCGAATGATGACGAATGACTATGGTGTAATGTCGATTTGAGATGTGGCGCGGGTCTACCAAGGAGAGATCAGCCTCTCAGTTTGCCGGCTCCCGAGCCCTGATTCCCCACGACGACTGCACCAATTCGAATGTGGCTAGCTCAATACAGCGCCGGAGTTGACCTGATGCCTCTTTCGGGCTGCAAAGCTATAAATATGGCTTTGGCGCTCCTTCCAAGTTTGCCCAAATGTGCTGCAATGTGCAGCCCTCATTTGGAAGGCGGTTGAACAAAGTCGCTTTGGGGCAACATCTGAAGGTGAATCGTGAACCAGTCCATAGCTCCACATATTTTTGTTCCATATTGCTTGAGATTGCGCCGAGCCCTTCCAGTCTATTCGATATATGTACGAACGTTCTGTGCCATTATAATCCAGTATGCATGCACAGGATGTACACATACTGGGTAGTGGGGTTAAGTCGAGCTTCCACAGGGGTGAGGGTGAAGGATTTGGTGGACAGTTTTGATGCAGAGATCCTTGGGTCCATGCCAGAAATTGCAAGGATCTTCGGCCCAGCTGGTTCTGCCGATGCTGCTGGTTTGCTGATGCTGTTATTGTTGCCGTGCTGGTTGGCGGCTGGTTTGCTGCTGCTGCTGCTGTTCTTCTTTGCCATGACTTAGTCGTGGCGTGGTGTCACGTCTGGGTGTAGGTGTTTTTTTTGACCGTAGGAAGCAGCTGTGGGAGTCGTGCTCGCGCGAACCTCGCGGGGGCTTGCGGAGGCCTACGTGTCACTTGTGTGTGCGCATGCAACCTGTTCTCCAAGTTGTGCATTGGTGTGAATGGTGCTGCGCCACTGAGATTAGGATTGAATCATTTGAAAGCAAGACAAACATGCCAGCCATAACACTGTGCGCAAACGCTTCCTTGAAAGTATCGCTGTCATGCCGTGCTCAATTTTCAAGTGTGCCCATTGTGCTTTAACAAAAATGGGTCGACTTCACACGAGTGGGTTGATTTCTCGCTGAGACCTTGTGCTGGCGCAGTGAGTTGACTTCACGCGACGTGGGTTGATTTAAGCACGCACGCACACGCATATATATATATATGTATAGTTCGGCATTTTTGTATGTGCACATATTCTACATATGCAGGCAAGAACCATCGGTGGAAAACTGTGCTGTAAGCACCGTGATTGAGTTGAAAAACCAGCTGCGAGGATTTTCTCAAACGTTTTGGCATCCTGCCTAAATCACATGCCGCCAGCTTACCACATGGAGGCTTATGATTTTGCTGGTTTGAGTGTGGCAGAGTGGCGAAAACTCCAGATCACCACAAAGCTTTGCTTTGTCCAATTTTCGCCAGCTGTATGGCAACTGTGGGGAGTAAAGCCGCGCGCTGAGGCTTTCCTTCACCGGGACAGAGTACCCCGGTCTTGGCTGGGGTGCTCAATGCAGAGTGTGACCCCTCAAGGCCAAGCAGGGCGTGATACAGTCCAGCAGGAAACCGGTTTTTGCGTGGCTGTGGGGACCATTAAAGGCCTCAAGGTGCTCGGTGGCCTGTGGCAGCTTTTCTTTTCCGACGAGGTCACAATATGCGAACGGGTAGAGGAAAAACAGCATGGCCTTTGATTCAGCTTCTCCTTCTCAATCCATCTCAATGAATTGAGGAATGCATTGGCAAGCTCTGCCTGGTCTTTGGCACCAGCACTGGGGATACATCAGGCCAGAGTGCGGATGGTCAAGATATGGGGGGGTTAGTGGTTGTGTCAGCATCGAGCTTTGCATGGGTGAAGCATGGTGACGCATGGTGTTTCACAGTTTAGAGAATGGTTTGTCAAGTTTCATCCTTGTTGATGTGCAACAAGGTCTTTATGTTTATGTGCATGTGCTTGTCATTAATTCCTGACACGACATTTTTTGGGCCCTAGAAAGCGTTTTGAGGTTCCTCCATCATGGAAACCGTATGGCCCACGTTAAAAATGTGATCACCATATCGCCCCAATTGGCCCCCCCCACAGGTTGTGCATCACTCATCACTCCTTCTAGGTATTCTGTACAGGCAACCAAGACCAGGCAAATGGCATAGGACGAGCAGAAGCTCTTCTTCTTTTAGAACAACTGCAGTGGGGTACGATGCTAGCACCTAGCACAATTAGGGTCAGACCGGGGATGGATTGACTTGGGCAACACCGTTGTTGGGCATTGTGAATTTCTTGATGGGCAGAGACCCTTGGTATGAGAGCAAGGTGCTTCGCCTGCGGAGAGAAGCCATCACAATGGCATGTGCTCGCAGGGCTCCCAGCAGCTCCCAGCTCTTGTGCAGATGAAACATTCGTTTGTATTCGTCATTTCAAAGGGCTAGAAATAACCTGTTTTCAGTTTGGAGACTCGAGGGTTGGCGATCTTGGCGGGTGGAAGCGCGCCTGCGACCTGGAATCTTGTAAGAAAGGCTATCTGGCCTCATGGAGATTACGTTAGACTTGTCACCTAGACGGGGCCCCAGCTGAGGCGCACAGCTACGGAGGCCATGACCAAAGCAGGCTTGGCACAGCAGTTGGGCTCTCGGTTTGGGGCACACTCGGAGAGTCTCTCTGGGCCAGACAGTCTCACATGGAGCAGATCTGCAACTCTGGTGGTGTCCAAGGTTGAGCAACTCCCGAGTCAAAAAGATATTCAGGCCGCTGGCAACTCACGTGGCATAAGCTGCACTACGGCAGCTTGCCTGCGAGTGCCCATCCACGAGTCACACGGCAAAGGTAGATCGGATTACGGGATTTATGTCTAGACAACACCAAAAACAGTAGTGGTTTCACCCCGACGTTACTTTTGGGGTATTGGAGGGAAAGTTGTGCCCTTTCTATCCACAGATCGCTAGTAGGTATCGCTAATAGGTTGGTTGGAGGCCATTGCTACTAGGCCTACTACTAGGGGAGCAAGGACGCTACTAGGGGCTGCTACGACCGTAACAAGAAGCTACGAACCAGATTTCTTTGCATCGCCTTTGGCCGGCAGGTGGGCCCAGAGTGACTCTGGGCGTAACTTGATCGTACGCAGTCAGCCTGGAACCTGGAGACATCACCTGCAACTGGTGTTCCACGCGCTGAACACCGAACAGCTGGAACCGTCCATTTTTGGCACAACGAACGCGTTGAAGACTGGAAGAATCCTGAAATGAGGTTCCTGAGTTAGTGATTTGTGATAGGAGTGTGTAATGTATATATGTATAAATGTATAAATATATAGATTTATAAATCAGCAAATACCTCAACCAGATGCATTTGGTCATGGGATCATAGTGGCAGATCTAGCGGTTGAATATGTTGAATGATCCTAAATTGGAAGATGTGAAAGGTGAGGCTCAGATATTCCAAGGACCCTTGGCCAAGTGAGGTTTCCTTCCAGGTGTCCTTGTTCTTGTTGCCCGAGTTGTTTGTTTGTTTGTGTGTTTGTGCTGAAAGACATGATGCCATGCTGCAGCCTCTAGAAGACCTGGTGCGTCCATGAGCGTCCATGACATGAGATTCAATCAGTTCAAGTGCAGTGCCTCGCTCCCTCGATATTCCTACTCCACATTTTGCATTGTACTTGTACACATTCGCGCGATTCGGAATCATTGGATCGTTGGCTTTTTCATATCAAACATCCGAGCAATGGCGCCCAAAGTGCCACCGATCAGCCCCGAGCACTTCCCAGGAGGATCCGAAGTACAGGCGGATCGCGATCAGACTTATGTACTCGTCGTGCGCGCACTGCCGCATGGCGCTTGTTTGATCGGGAGGCATCGCCGCGAATCAACGAGCAAACGACTCCAAGGGCCTTGTTTGAGATGGTCAAGGACGACCAGAAATGGGCCTTTTGAGTTGCAAGGGGGGCAGTTTTCCAGTCATCTCTGTATGATGTGCTAGCTAGGTGAAGTGGGTGAACGGTTCTTGCGCTTGGGCCGCCTAGGCAGTACTTTTGGATGATACAACTGCAGGCTTCAAGGGTGGTAACTTCGCTGCAAGATGCTGACAACGCGCTTGATGCTGGCACTTGCCATAATGTTCAAGACAGGGAGGAATCACACCACCCGATGCATCCCAATAACTCCCACCTTGTCCTCAGCTTGAGGTGTACTGTAGTTAGTCTGGTGTTGATTCTATACAGCCTTCGTGTTTTCCAACGAACTCTCTCATCTTGTTTTCCATTCATACTTTGGCCCCCTGAGATTCTCATCCAATTCCACCGGGGTGTCTTCTCTTCCGCAGAACTGCTCTCCGAGGTGACATCATTGACTATCGTTATCAGCAATACCTTCAAGAGGCCATATGCAGTGAACAGCCAGTGCTTTTCAAGCACAGCCATGGCAGCAGTCCTGAAAAAGCTCGAGAGGTCGTTCCCATCATGCTGAATCACAATGTTAGCTTCAAGACAGCGGTGGCCATCTTAGTGCCCATTCAAGTTCTGCTTGCTCCTTGCGTGGCTTCACTTACGTGCATTGGTACGACTCTGCCATCGCAGAACCAGGGATTTAAACAATTTATATAAATTCATTGTTAATTGTCGTTTGTTCCCCTTTTCTCTGCCACTTGGACATCCTTGGCTCTTCATCTTGAATCGTCCTCGATGTGTCCTAATTAGGTCGACATGCTAGCAAGCCGGCTTGGCAAGGCACAAGGCAACTTGACGGCAGCCAGAGCTGATACCGGCCACTCCGGAGCTGTGTCCGCGTGTGGCAGTTTTTTGGAGCTCACGGCCTCAGGATCCGAGCCGAAAGGACTGTGGGGATTGTTTTGTGCGTGGACCGGGTGGACGCCGAAGAACGCATCGCCCTCGGCGGTGTTGGCCATTCAGGAAGCCCGAAGAGGATTCGCAAGGAGGCGACAGAGAGGGATGGGAATAATATGGAAAAATAGGTTTGGGCGAGAGGGATGGTCATTGAACAGAATCCCAAGAAAGACGTGGCTTATATAATTGAGTTTGGATTTGCTCTAGACTCTAGATTGATGCAGTACATGGGGTGTTTAATAATCAAGATGTCAAGAGTCAAGTCAAGACTGTACATTCCATTCTGAGAGAGATGCTGCACCGACAAGCCATTCGTACCTTGTCTTTCTTAAACAAGCTGAAAACTGCAAAAGTTGTGTTTGATGCGCTGGAGGGTCGCCAGATCCTGCAATCACATCATCATATCACCCCATTAACCCAGCGAGAACGACTCATTCAAAGACCAGTTGTGAGTTGTGACTCATGTGTCGCATGCCTGGTGTGGGGTGCAAGTCGTCTCCACCAACTGTAGAGAGGAATTTGGACCGGTTGCGCAACGCACCGGGCTTCACTTTCGGAATTGCAAAAGATGCAAGCTCGAATTGGTCCTCCTGTAGTGAGCGCTGGTACCCTGGAAATGTGCCTGACCTTTGACACCGCCAGGTGATGAAAGATCAAAGCAGAGACCCCATGCCAAAGCTGCAAGAGGCGTGTACCAACGCGCAGCTCAGTCTTTCGATGGGAAGAAGTGCTGAATTTGCAGTTTCATGTCGCATCATGTCGCACCATGTCACGCAGTGATGAGTCTGGGCTCAAGTCAGTGAAACATTCTCGGAAACATG